TATTTTGTACGTAGAAGCTATTTCAAAGTTTATCGGTCGTAAATCTGAAACCCGGCAGGAGCTCAGGCAAGCTAGAAAAAAACTAACGTCCTCCCTTGCTAAGAAGGAAGTTTACCGCTGCAGTTTTTCTCTTTTCCTGTGCTAGTTGTAACGCTGTGAGACCATTGTCGTCTTTTGAATTTACATCAACACCAAATGACAGGACTGTATCAATCAAGGTTACACTACCATGGCGTGAAGCGTCGTGCAATACATTTCTTCCAGCGAAGCCCTTCGCAAAGGCATCTGCTCCCCTTCTTAAAAGGAAATGCGCGGCCGCAATCTTGCCAAAACCAGCAGCAATAAGTAAAGGTGTGGCATTAAAAGAGTCTTTTGAATTCACATCAATACCACGTGACAGGAATATCTCGATTATGTGGATTTGACCACCTTCCGCAGCTTTATGCAGTAGATTTCTTCCGTATCGATCTTTTTTCAAGGGATCTGCTCCCTTAGCTAAAAGAGAAGAAACAGCATCAGATTTGCCACCTAACACAGCATATGCCAATGGTGTACTGCCATAAATATTTCTTGAATCCACGTCCAAACCATGTGATAGTATTGTCTTGATGATGGCGAGATTACCACCCCTTGAAGCGTAGTGCAGTAAACTATCTTCTGTGAAGGTTTTCAAAAAGGGATCGGCTTTCTTGTCTAAAAGACAATTAACAGCTTCCATCTTGCAATTTATGGCAGCGCTCGCTAACGGAGTCTTATCGTGACCATCTTTAGAATCGACGGGTAGGCCATGCGATATCAATAGCTCGATGATGGCGACATTACCACTTTCTGCAGCAGCGTGCAGAGAGTTTCCACCTCCTAGGCCTTTCAGGAAAGGATTTGCTCCTTTTTCTAGAAGATGATCAACAATTTCGCCCTTTCCAGACCTACAAGCTAATATTAAAGGTGTGTCCCCATATCTGTCTTTTGAATCGATGTCAAGTCCGCGAGACAACAGAGTTTCGATGATGGTAACTGTACCACCTTGTGAAGCTGCATGTAGTGCATTCATTTGTGAAGTATCTCTGATGAATGGATTTGCTCCATTCTCTAAAAGACAACACGCGGCATTACTCTTACCCTGACAACAAGAGAGCATCAAAGGTGTCTTTCCATCACTACTTTTCTGATTGATGTTTAGACCACTTGACAGTAGTGTCTCAATGATGTTGACATGACCAAGAAGGGAAGCTAAGTGCAGAGCATTTGCTCCATTCTGATCGGTCAAGGAGGGATCTGCTCCTTTACCCAAAAGATAATGAACTGTTCTGTTCTTGCCAGCTATGGTAGCGATCATTAACAACGTGTAATCTTCATTATTTCTCGAATTAATGTCTAGGTTGTGTGAAAGCGAGGCTCCAATGATGTCNACAGAAGTTTACTTTGTATATATATATATATATATATATATATATATATATATTGAGAGATTCTACGCCGTTAACTAACGGAGTAATTTCGTTCAATCTGTTGTATGTATATTGTGAGATTTACGCCGTTAACTAACGGCGTAATTTCGTTCAGTCCGTACTATGTTTATTGTACGATTTTACGCCGTTAACTAACGGCGTAATTTCGTTCAGTCTGTAATATATAGATTGAGAGATTTTACGCCGTTAACTAACAGCGTAATTTTGTTCAGTCTGCTGTATATATTGGGAGATTTTACGCCGTTAACTAACGGCGTAATTTCGCTCCATCTCTTGGGAGATTTTACGCCGCTAACTAACGGCGTAATTTCGTTCAGTCTGTTATTTTTAGTGGGAGATTTTACGCCGTTAACTAACGGCGTAATTTCGTTCAGTCTGTTATTGGGATATTTTACGCCATTAAGTAACGGCGTGACTTTGTTCAGTCTGTTATATATCTATTGAGAGATTTTACGCCGTTAATTAACGGTGTAATTTGGGTTTGTACATTTCGCTGACCCCTAGTCCATGGACCGTGACCCCGATGGACCCGGTCCATGGACTACTTGTAATTAATCCACTTAGAGTAGTCCATGGTTAGTCCATACAAGTAGTCCATGGACCGGGTCTATCGGGGTAGTCCATGGACTAGGGGTCAGCGAAATGTACCGATCCGCGTACTTTTGTTCAGTCCGGTTATATATATTGGGAGATTTTACGCCGTTAACTAACGGCGTAATTTCGTTCAGTCCGTACTGTTTATTGTACGATTTTGCGCCGTTAACTAACGGGGTTATTTCTTTTATTAAGTAATTGTAAGATTTTACGCCGTTAACTAACGGCGTTATGTCTTTTACTAAGTATTTGTGTTATGTTTAGTAGTTAAGATATTAAGTGTACGATTTTACGCCGTTAACTAACGCGTTAAATCGTACAATATACAGACCGAGTTAGTGGCGTTAAATCTCACAAAATAGAGACCGATGTAATCGCATAATTCGCCGTTATCTGATACGCCAATTTAGTGGTAGAAGAGAAGGGCCAAAATTGATTTCTATTCTTTTTGAAATCAATGGTGCACTCAAAACAGCTGTGTGCGAAACACCAGGTTCAAATAAGAACCTAATGTAAAAAAGAGGATAGTTTAAACAACTTTGGGTTTGGCATCACGCCATTGTGAACCCTCTATGCCACTCTCTCGGTAAAAGAATCGCGCGTCAGATCTTTGTCCTCGAATCAGTGAACCCAATCAGTCAGCTTAACCTCTAACATACGCTCGAGTTTTCACTGATAGCCCCTCATAATCATTCCGTAAATCATAATCTTTCCGTAAAATAGCTTTCATTTAACCCTTATCTGAACTTCTGTTGATATGCACGGTCAGGTTAGGACAGGTAAACTTAACATCAATATATCATGTAATGATACCTTTGCAAATTTTGATACACAG